GTACTGTAATGAAGATTAACAGGAGGACAGAGGACGACTCGGTGTTTTTCATATAAACCTTGAAAACTTCTAGTTTTGGAAATTTATGGATGTGTTAAAATATGCAGTAAACATTTTTCACATTTTATATTACTATCAAAACTTGACAGTCATCTGTGTTTTCTCCCATTTGATTTTTTTTTCTTACCATTTATTAGCCATTCAAACCAAAACTGCTTATTCTCTGTATGTGAAATTCAGGGTATATTTCGGTCTTAATAGATCATTGACCATAAACATTTGTTTATATTTCAGCTGAATGAAAAGACCTAAGTGATGTTATAATAAAAAACACATATTTGCTCATCTTATTCCCTCCTCCAGTGTGATAGTTCAGTCAGATGAATTTAAAGATTTAATTATTTGTGCGTAAAGTAGCAAAATGTGTTGGAACTACTATAATAGATTTTCTAGAATTTCCATAAAAATCTCTTTCAAGAATTTTTCATTTATGATAAATTTCCATTTATAGTCAAGTTTACCTAAGTTCCCGGGGTAGTAACTTTCATGGAAATCTGGGGTTTCAATTGTGAAAGTTCTGGGTCTCCTTTCAAAAATGAAAAATCCATATGTCATGTACGCCTTTGTGTTGAAAAACTTTATTGTGACCGGAGACTAACCCGGAGCAAGAATGAGAAGACTGGAGAAGTCATAATTTGGTTGTTGATGGAAAGCTTCCCTCTCTCTTAAATGTTGGGAGGAAAAAATCTTGCCTATGTTTATCTACATTCCATCATGTTAAAATATACTATGAAAGGGGCGCCTGGGTGCTCAGTTGGTTAAGCGTCCAACTCTTGATTTCAGCTCAGGTCATGATCTCAGGGCTGTGAGATCGAGCCCTGCATCAGGCTCTGCACTGGGTGTGGGTCCTGCTTAAGATTCTCTCTCTCTCCCTCTGTCCCTTCCCGAACCGCCCCCTTTATCCCTCCCTCTCTTAAAAAAAAAAAAACAAACAAAAAACCATGAAAAAAATTGTAAATGCTAATTCGTCCTATTCATGACATTTCACCAGTTGAATTTATTCACAGTGAAAGAGCTTTTATCAAAATAAATGATCGTATTACTACTACTAGGATTTTTCGCTATATAGTATTATCTGTGTTTTATACTTCTCGGTTATAAATCTCAGCCCTAAAAATCTTAAATTTTTTTTTGCATTTATCAGTATTCTGTCTACAAGACATTTTGACAGATGATTAGAATAAAAAATAAAAGTTGAATGTCTTTGCTTTTCACCAAGGGAATGAGACATGACACATTCCTCATTAATTGCTGGAAAAGGGATATCATTGATAGTAGCATTCTTAATATGTCGTTTAGCAATTTCTAGGAATCAGCTGAATTCCATTACTCTGTGGGCAGACGTTGGGATCCCTTTTATGCTACTTACATGGGTGAAAACTGGTGTGGAAAAGTGAGTGTTCATCTGCAGGCTGTAGGAGCCTAGTGGGCCTTCTAAGTGTGGGAATCCTCCCTGCCAAGGTTCTCTGTTCATGCTTTAGTTCGACTTTCATTTAACTTTATTTTGAAATAAAATAAATTTTATTTTATTGGTTGTGCCTTATATAAAAGTTCACAAAAAGGTGATTTTAAGTGTTTAGGAAAATTATCACTGGGATATGGAGTTGCCAGCTTTAGTGTGTGGTCTGCACATGCACACACACACTCTTGCAGGACTCCCAATATGTCTGAAATATTGCCTGGGATATACTTATACTAAAATATTATTTATCTGAAATGCAAATTTAACTAGACATCCAGTATTTTCTCTGGCATACCTACTAATATAACTTACCATTTAGCATCCAAACCAGGACACTTTTGAGAGTGAAGTGGGGCACTTTTAATAATTTTGCCAGGACAGCAGACATAAATTAGGACTATCCCAGGAAAACTGTATTATCAACCTAATTATAATTAGGGGGTTTTGAAAGAATTTTTAATTATTGGTTTTAGATTTTCATAAGCAATCACAACTTTGTCATTAACTTGTATAGTTATGAATTTTTAGAAGTAAAGAGTATTGCTTTATAATTTTATATTAACAATTTGATTAAGTCATCTTAAAAACTATATGGCCTAATTGGTAGCTTCAACCTTGACTACATGATAAAGTTCTCTTTTTCAGCGGGGTGTGTGGCGGGAAAGAGTTTGAGAAGAATTGGTATTTTTTAAGTAAATTCTACCCCCAACGTAGGGCTCGAACTCACAACCCCCAGATCAAGAGTTGCATGCTCTACTGTCTGAGTCAGCCAGTCACCCCAGAATTGGTATATGTTAAATACCAATTTTATTTATTTATTTTTTAAGATTTTATTTATTTATTTGACAGAGAGAAATACAGCGAGAGAGGGAACACAAGCAGGGGGGAGTGGGAGAGGGAGAAGGAGGTTCCCGCTGAGAAGGGAGCCCGATGTGGGGCTCGATCCCAGGACCCTGGGATCATGACCCGAGCCGAAGGCAGACGCTTAACAACTGAGCCACCCAGGCACCCCTGTTAAATTCCAATTTTAAAGAGAAAGTTCTCTTACTTTGTGAGTAAAATGAAGCACCGCTAGTACATGAAATTTACAGTTTAAAAATATATTTTTTTAATATGTGTGTACTTTACCATCAGCAGTTATAATTTAAGATGAAAATTCCATGCATTTTCTGTCTTGTATTTGGCTTAATTCTCCCCTTCTAACCAATCTACTTACTGTTTTGGGGGATTTAGTAAATAACCTATTATTCACATTTAGCTTACCCTTAATTGTATAGCCTTTTATCATCTTCCCTTGCTCAACCTAACTAACCTCATTCAGCAAATCCATACATAAATATTTGCTACATGACAACCACTCTGCTGAATGTCACAGAAAATGTGATGTGGAATGGAACTGGTCCTATCCTCAAGCTGCACTTGATGTGGTAGTCTCTTCACAGCTTTGTGTATTTCTGAGTGTCTTTCTCGGTCTTCTTCAGCCGCATGTGTCTTTTGAAGTGTGATGATTAGTATGTCAGAAATAGACGTACCATGGTTTTGTTTTGTTTTGTTTTCGTACCATGGTTTTGAATAGTGTCTTATGTTTTGAATACAAAAACCATGGTTTTGTATGTTGTGTTATCCCAACATTTGTTCTGCTAATGCACAGGATTTTATTGGAGTTGAGCTACATTACTGAGATGTGTTCAGGAAACAGCTTATAACTGCTAGATAACTTTCCTTTGTTGTAATTTATGCATCAGAATAAAAATGTATCAAAGTTCAGTATATTTGAACTGCCTGGAACCTTTGAGCAATGACTTGACTCAGATAACAGTTTCCCAGATTGTTTTACCTTTAACAAGATTAGTGTCTAGTGTCTGGTTTCTCTAAAGGAAAAGTTTTCTTTAAAAGTATTTTCTTGCTTTTATTATTTTGAGTGTCAATAGTTGTTTTATATTATAATGTTAGTTATTTAAAAACGTAAGTACTCCCCATTGCCCTATTGTGTTATCTTGAAAAGATACAAGATTATCTCTACTGTATACTCACATGGTAAAAGTTCATATGATATAAAAGCATATATAGTGCAGTCGTCTCTGTCTCCCAGCCACCCATTTTCTTCATAACCAGTTTTTTATAAGTGTCTTATATGTCCTTTCAAAGATTGCATGTACAGATATTGTTTATGTATTCTCTTTTTTCTTCTCACAAATAGTAACATACCATCCACACTTTGCTTTTTTCACATTACATTGTATCTTGGAGATTACTCCTCATCAGAACATAAAAAGCTATATCCTTTTTTTAACAGCTGCATAGTATTCCGTGTTATAGGGCCCTTACTAATCACTTTTTTATTGTTTTCAGATGTTTGCTATTATATACAGTGCTTGATGAATAACTTCATAACACACCTCATTTTGCATATGTGTAGCTCAGTTAACATGAATGTGGATATCATTCCAAGAAGAAGAATTTCTGGGTCAAAGTGCATTCATGAATACTTGCATGCCTTATTTTCTTTAGCCTAAAAGTAGTATGTGTTTGTGGTAAAACTTAAAACATTTCAAACATTACCAAAAAGAATAAAATGAAAACTAAGTTTCCCAAGCTCCTAGTCCCACTTCCCAGATGTAACACTTTCTTGTCTTTCTTGTGATTATCAATTTCCCTGATTTTTTTTTTAACATAAATGGCTTTATGATACTCCACATATGTATATATCATACTTTAACCATTAAGTTCCTCATTGGTGTACATTTAAGCTCTCTCCAGATATTTTTTTAATACTAGTGAAGTTACAGTGAAAAACCTTGTAGGTATATCTTTGCATGTATATCATGTGTTCTATTGAATAGATTCCTAGAATCAAGGAATACATGTGTTTAAAATTTTGCTTCATTTTACTAACTGCTCTCCAAAAAGATAGTTCCACTTGATACTTCCACCAGTATATCCTTGCTAACTGTGGCTATCATCGGACTTTTTAATATTTACCAATTTAGTAAGGGATAAAAAACAATCATATTCTTATTCGAATTTCTTGTATTATGATTGATTTTGATGAATTGGTTGTTTCTGTTAATTTTCTGTGTATTAGTAGTTGTGTCCTTTATCCATTTTTGTTATGCGTTCTTCACTTTGTTATTGATTTGTAAGTGTACTTTTCTACTGGGAAATTAGTCTGTGATCATGTATGTTACAAATAATTTTTTTCAGTTTTTCATTTTTACCATGTATATGGTCTGTTAAGTATACACAGTTTGACCCTAAAGAGATGAGGGGAAAGTGGGGAGTGGTGAGAATGAGTTGGTGGAGAGTCCAGAGCAAACTACTAAACACTTTTTAAATAAGGAAAATAATATGACAGAAATGATAGTGTTTTCATCTCTTCAGAGGAAAGATATAAATAAAAGATTGTACAATATTTAATTTGTATGAAGTGTAATAGCCATGCTACAGATATATTTGTTGTTTATATTTTTCCCTCCAGAGGTTTTATCAGCTATGATTAGTGTGCTGTTGGTGTATATACTTATGGGATTCCTCCTATATGAAGCTGTCCAAAGAACTATCCATATGAAATACGAAATAAATGGAGATATAATGCTCATCACTGCAGCAGTTGGAGTTGCTGTTAATGTAATGTAAGCTCTATTTAAAAAAAAAATTTAACAGCTTTATTTTTTAGAATAGTTATAGGTTCACAGCAAAATTGAGCAGAAGGTGCAGAGATTTCCCATATACCCACTGCCTTCATATATGCATAGCTTCCCCCATTAAGAACATCTTCCATCAGAGTGGTACGTTTGTTACAGTTGATGAACCAGCATTAACACATTACCACACAGCATCCCTAGTTTACATACAGGTTCATTCTCTTGGTGTTGTATATTCTATGGGTTTGGACAATTTTATAATGGCATGTATATACCATTATGGTATCATATACTCTATATTGTTTTCACATTAATATTTTTAAGTTCTGTGAACTTAGAGACTATTATACCATGCATTCAGTAATGTGCAGTGGTATTTATATGTATTTTAAAATTATATGGTATCTTAATTTTTCTTATGTTAATAAAACACTGATGGAATTATAAATTTCTCATTTGCTCAGTTATACTGAAATTTGACAAATAATTTGGAATTTAAGTGGGACAAAGTTTTTTTTTTTTAACTTATATATTAACAAGACTTTTTTTAAACTACAAACTTTCCCTGAAAGCTATGACATTTTTAGGTTATATACTTATTTGGACCAGCAGTCAGAAAACTTTTCTGTAAAGGGCCAGATAATAACTTTTAGGCTTTGAGAGCCTGGCAGTTTCTGTCACAACTGCTCAACTCTGCGGTTAGAGAACAAAAGCAGCCACATTTAGTATGTAAACAGATGAGCACAGCTGTGTCCCAATAAAACTTTATTTACAAAAACAGGCAGTCGGTCACATATGGTTTACAGACCATGGTTTGCCAATCCCTACCCTACTGGCTTCTATTCCCACTTAAAATAAAATCAAAGTCTTTACCATAGCCTTTTTTTTTTTTTTTTTAAAGATTTTATTTATTTATTTGACAGAGAGAGACACAGTGAGAGAGGGAACACAAGCAGGGGGAGTGGCAGAGGGAGAAGCAGGCTTCCCGCGGAGCAGGGAGCCCAATGCGGGGCTCGATCCCAGGACCCTGGGATCATGACCTGAGCCGAAGGCAGACGCTTAACGACTGAGCCACCCATGCGCCCCATACCATAGCCTTTTTAATAAGATCCTGTGTGCCTCTCTAACTCATACCTTAGCATTCTTGCTCTATTTATTTATTTATTTATTTAAAGATTTTATTTATTTATTTGTCAGAGAGAGAGAGCGAACACAAGCAGGGGGAACAGCAGGCAGAGGGAGAAGCAGGCTCCCTGCTCAGCCCCGATGTGGGGCTCCATCCCAGGACCCTGGGATCATGACCTGAGCCGAAGGCAGTCGCTTAACCGACTGAGCCACCCAGGCGCCCCTTCTTGCTCACTTTAGTCTCACCACAACAACTGTCCTGCTTTTTTGAAACATGTAGAGCACATTCTCATCTAAGGGCCTTTGCCCTGGTACTCCTGCTACCTAGCACACCCTTTCACCACATGCTGCTTCCTGACTTGATCCGGGTCTCTGCCCAGGAGGAGTCTCAGGCCTTCTCTGACAGACTATACTGCCCCAGCACTCTCCATCCCCTTGTGGTGCTTTACATCTCTTCAAACCATTTGCATTGCCTGGCAGTATAGTATGTATTTATTTGGTTACTTCTCTCCCTTCTCTACTAGAACATAAGCTCCATGGGGATAGGGATATGTCTGTCTTATTCACTGTTTTGACCCCAATACCTCAAACAGTACCTGATATGTAATAGGTGCTCATATATATATATTAGATGAATGAGCTCCCTGTTGCCTCATTAATGTCTGATTTGTAACAAATGTTTATCAACAATACTAGGAAGAATAATAATGTTTTCTTTTATTTTTGACAGAATGGGGTTTCTGTTGAACCAGTCTGGTCACCACTCCCATTCCCACTCCCTGCCTTCAAATTCTCCTACCACAGGTTCTGGCTGTCGACACGACCACGGGCAGGACAGCCTGGCAGTGAGAGCTGCATTTGTACATGCCGTGGGGGACTTGGTACAGAGTGTTGGTGTACTAATAGCTGCATACATCATAAGATTCAAGGTAATAGGATTGCTGGTTTTTCTATTTTAAAATATATTTAATTTCAATATTAAAAATATTAAGGTAATTGTCTTTTATCAGTATACTGGATATCAAAGTCAGCCTTACTCATTTTGCATTTAGGTAGGCTTCACTGAGCCATCAGTATAGCTCTTTTGCTAGCACTAAACATGATAGTGTCATTTCAGAGTAGCTTGTCTGTAGCGGGCTTCCAGACTGCCTTCACTAGAGAACTCAATTTTAAGCCATGTCACTGACCTGCTAGGTACCAGAATGTACGCTGGACTAGAAATCCAGAGATTTGGGTTCTAGTCTTAGCTGTGCCGTTAATGCTTTGATTCTGAGCAAGTCCCTCCTCTTTTATATGAGAGGCTTAGACCAGATATGTGGCTGCTGAAAGTCCTTCCAGCTCTGATATTCTATGGTTCTGGGTCAAAGATTTAGAGAAGGCACAGAGGAAAACAATAGAACAAACGATTAAACTTCTGGAAATAGGTCTTACAAGGAAAGGCAAAAAAAAAAAAAATTTTTTTTTTTTTTTTTTTTAACAATCCAGGAAAGACTGAAGATGTTTCTCAATTGCAGTATCCAAAAATAAAGGTATTCTTAGTCCTGGTATAGAAGGCTAAAGAACAGGAGCAGAATATGGCTTGCTTTGCTTTACAGTCTGTTTTATGTTGGTCTGTATTTAATCACACAGTTTTGTTCTGTCGCCTTTCAGCCAGAATACAAGATTGCTGATCCCATCTGTACATATGTATTTTCATTACTTGTGGCTTTTACAACATTTCGCATCATATGGGACACAATAGTTATAATACTAGAAGGTAAGATCTCACTATAATATCCCCGTTGTGGGTTTATTACCTCCCTTAACCAGATTGGTGGGTGGGGGGCACCCTAGAGTAAGAGTCACGTCTTTCTCTTTACTGATGCTCATTAGGCTATAGTTACACGACTTATGTGTATATAACATATAAGAATTGATGTACTCTCCCCTCTGTTACCCATTTGATCCTTATAATAGCTAAGAAAAGTAGGTAAGGTGAACATTATCCCCATTTACCAACGAGGAAATTGAGCTTCAGAGGGGTAACATAACTTGCTTACTTAAGGTAATGCTGTTAATAAACTGTGGAGCTGGGACAAAAATACAACTCTTTTTTGATTCTTGATATAATTATGTTTAGTGGTTTATTAATTCCTTAATTCCCATTTAACTTGATACTTTGTTATATTTTCAACATCCCTACCTACTGATATTATGTCTAAGTATGTAAGTTCTCAACAGCAGGTTCATCATCATTGGATGTTCCCCCCCCCCTTTTTTTTGCCTTTCTTTTTTTGTGTATCCTAGCTTATTTGTTAAATGAAGTATTCAGGTTTGATATTTCTTTTAGTGAGAGTGAACATTTTAAAAATTATTAATCTCTTAAACATATCTTGCTTTATGTGTGCATGGTTTATCGTAAAGTATTAAGATATTTTAAAGTGTCCATTTAAACTGAATTTGATAAAACCATTTGGTTTCTTTGGGGGGAAGAAAAGTTCTATCAGTTATATATAGCTTTCTTCCCCAAAATAAACTTTACTTATAAATGATATATTCTGAACTAATAGGTGTACCAAGCCACTTGAACGTAGACTATATCAAAGATGCCTTGATGAAAATAGAAGATGTATATTCCGTGGAAGATTTAAATATCTGGTCTCTTACTTCAGGAAAACCTACTGCCATCGTACACATACAGCTAAGTATGTTGCTGATAGTAAATGCTGGGGTTGATGGACTTTATCTTTAGAATTAAACATCTGTGCTTATAATTAAGTAGGAAGACTTTTCTGCTGGAAAGATTTGCTTTAAGGGAGGGGTCAGGCTTTTCAAAAGGTGAGTTGCAGATCAGTAACAGCAGAGCAATAATTTTCGATCTCTAAGATGAGATCTTTCTGAGAGAGAGTGAGCGAGCACAGCAGGGAGGGACAGAGGGAGAAGCAGACTCCCCACTGAGCAGGGAGCCCGACGTGGGGCTCAATCCCAGGACCCCGGGCTCATGCCTGAGCCGAAGGCAGATGCTTAACCGACTGAGCCACCCAGGCGCCCCTAAGATGAGACATTACAAATTGATTTTTGCCTTCAGATTAAGGCATGAAGTATATTTACCATGCTTCTTCTACATAAGAAAAGCTAGGCCTGTTTTTATTTCCTAAAGTCATTTCACAGATTGATGCTTTTTATTTATCAAAATAATATGTGTATGGGTTTATTAAAAAAAAAACGGGCAAAAGACTTGTAATTGATGTCTACTATTCTTTCTCTACCTGCGAGTGGACTGGAGGGATTGGAATAATGAGAAGCCACCCTGGCTTTGGAAACTGACGTACTTCTCTAACAGAGTAGCTTCAAAAGGGGAGAAATCAAAGGGATAAGAATAGGTTCACTGTATATTGTTACTCCCCTGTGTCATTGTAACTGGGTACAATGAATAGTAATGGTATTTTCTTGACATTGCAGTTCCTGGAAGTTCATCTAAATGGGAGGAAGTACAGTCCAAAGCAAAGCATGTATTATTGAACACATTTGGCATGTATAAATGTACTGTTCAGCTTCAGAGTTACAGGCAAGAAGTGGACAGAACTTGTGCACGTTGTCAGAGTTCCAGTCCTTAACTTGATACGTTTTGGGGACTACTGCCTTATTCATCCTGCAGTCACAGAACTGAGGGCAGTAAATGCGCACATCTGCCTGAGGAAATGGACTCCCTACCAGCTGTGTCCACATCAAGCAGAGTCCCTCAGAACAGTCACTCCAGCCGGACAGCCCTAGTTTCTGTTTAATGGTAAAATGAGACTTCACCCTGATTGTCAGATGAAGGTGTTTCCAAAACACTGTTCACAGAGTAAGATGTGACTCCACGGATACCTCAAAGAAGACAATCCAAGACCACACTGCATTAATTATGACAGAGTACATGTCTTAAAGGAAGCATCAAGAATTCAGTATTTGCATTTAAAAATCCTTTTTAAAGACCATTTTTTATCGAGCCAGTGCTGGAAAACTGAATTTTTTTTTTATTATGTAATCTTGACATCCGGCTTCTGGAATTTGACACCCAGCTCTCTTTTTACAGAAATTATTTCTCAGCAGATTTCAGAGAGTACTAGACATTATCCAGAGAGTGGAATAAGCATGTATTCCCACGTTTCAGAAATGTTTTATTTCACAAATAACTTAATGTTATTATTGTAGTTATACTTTATAAACCGTTTTTTCCAGATGTTACGGGGTTTTGCATCTCAAAGTTAACATTTTGGGTTATTTGTAATCTTAATCAGAACCAAATCTTTACATATTGTGATCACTGTCATTAGGATTATTTAGGAAATATTTTCAATACTATTCTGAAGGGCAGAAGTTCATCTTAAACTCAAGTTGCAATATGATAATGTAAAACGAAATATAGGAGTAAGGATGGAGTGTGGAATGTCAGATTTAAGTCTTCCTGAAATCCCTTTTATTGTTCATAGAATTATCTTTACTTAAGAATAGGAGGAGACTGCAAAATGTAAACAGTGGTCCTCTGTCCTTTTAAGAACTAGAAGTTTGCTTGGTACCTTGCTTCCGGCCTCCTTACCAGTTAGTTAGATTGGGCCCTTTCAGTGTAAAGTTCTGGAGGACTAAGGGTCAGTGTATAATGCCCATCTTTCACATGTGGATTAACCACATTCCTCCAGAGAGATTTTCTGTTTGATGATATGGGTTAGGGATTCTCCAGGGACTCCAGAAACCCTAAGATATAATTTTGAGGTTTTCCAATAATACCACAGCAGAAATGCCCAAAGAGATAGGGAGAAGACATTACTCTGGAAAAAAGAAAAGTCGAGGGTTTTTGACCTAGTGTTTGTGTTTTTTAAAGCACAGGAATAGGGATGGACATTCAGTCTGTGGTGTGGAGAGGCTAAACATGAAACTTTCCAAACCAAATGCAACTTAATTGGTAACAGTTGTGTTAAAGAGGCAGCTGTGAATATTCATGTTCCATTTTACAACTGTTGGTTTTGAGATTATCTTTATGCACTTTAGGAGTCCATTTTCACAGGGACAGTTTCTTAACCAAGAACGGCTATGGTTCTTGGGGTCCTCAGAGACTCAAGAGTAGAGTACAGTGTACCAGACAGACAGGTTATGAATTGAAAGCCTACATAAACATGCAGATGACTTATAATATCAAAGAAGGATAGGAAACAGATTTCATCTTTCTACCAAGTACCTCACTGTAAGTAAACCGAAGATAAAACCTGAATTTACCTGAAAGATGATCATGAGTTGATGGTATCCCCCAAAAAAGGGTTGATGAGGATTAAAGGTATTGAATAAAACCCAGTATGTATTTGTTGAATTGAACTGAAAATTAACTTAGGGGATTCTTACTGTGGATCCATTTAAAATAATGATTTGAATTTTTCAAAAATTTGGGTGGTATAAACTGTTTCAACCAAAATTCTCATAAATATGGAGGGCAAATAAGAATAAATGAGAAGCATTTCAGTGGACATCTGGGCATTTATGGACTTTGGGGTGCCTAGCAAGAGAAAGGAAAAGAATATCCATTATATGCTAATGGATTTCCCCATATTTGTAGTTGTTTCCCATGTCCACGGGACTTGTTTCTTGTAAACTTCCCTTTATCTTAAATAGGTATATCTTACTTTTCATATTGACCTATTCCTTGAAAAGTTACTTGATAAAACAGTCTAAAATCCATTCAAGGATTGAAAAGGAGCCTTTTGTAAAATGCGGAAACACTGAAAACTTCTGTGAATCTTAATGACTGTGTTCTATTTAAAGTGAGGTACACATGAAGTTTCCTGTCTTTGTCTTTTGTAGCAAGGATTACAGATTTTGTACTTTACTGGGTCTGTGAGACTGAGAATTGATAGATTTCCCTTTTTGTAACTTGACAAAACCCACAACGGAGGGTGTGAATTTAGCAGATACGACCAGGGGACCAGGGACTGGTCTGCCTCTGATAAGGAGCCTTGGGTCTGTCCCTCACCTGCAGAGCTGCAAGCCCGAGTTACACCCCTCAGCCAGCCCTCACAGGAAGAGTTCCCCATTCTGTGCAAGGATGTGGCGAATTGTGGATAAACACCTGGCATGGTTAATTTTGCACTGGGAGAACAGATCACAGCATAAAAACTAGGCAGTTTCTTTAGTGTGATGTATTTTAATTAACATTTGCAAATAATCAGAGTTACTTGTGTACGTAAAACCTGTGTTTCACAACTCTGGCCAGAGGGCAACGTTTTGATTTTAGGGAAAGACCTATTTTTCATTAACGATCATGCTGCCTTAGAAATCTAATGTGAGGAATACAGTTGAATAAGGCATCTCTCAGAGGGCCTTGAAATGCAGAACCACAAGCAAATGGAATTCCCACATACACTTTCCATTAGCTGTGCCTTGTGTAATGTGAGCCCAGATTTTCGCAGCTTGCAGCTCCCATCAGTATTGTTTGCCAAATCACAGGATCTCTTATTTTACTGTTTTCTTTTCAGATTTTGGTACCTTATTTGCATTTTCTAAAGTTAAGTTTCCTGCTCTTAAAAGTCTCAAGTGTTCTGGTTCTGTCTCTTGAACTCAAGTGTCCTCACTGACAGTGTTTGTCTTTGGTAGAATTTTCCCAGAATAGACACAGGCGAGATTAGATACATGAGCTTCCCGTTCATTTTAATGTGAGGAAAACCATCTTTCAGAAACAAATCACCACTTATAAATGTATTTCTAGGTGAGGAAGAACGGTTTTTTTTTAACAGCTGCTCGTTCCTGATCAAATTTCTCTGCACACTGAACTTTACAGAATAAGTATGATAGCAATAGACTACACTGTACAACCATGAGTGAAGATCGTTTCTAGTAAGACTCTGGGTTTTGTTTCTCAAACAACCTCTCTCATTACTTTAGAAAAGATACTCACTTCTGAAACAAGCACAATTAGCTAAATTTCTTTTCTTTTTTTTTCTTTTTTATTATTTTTAGTAGGCTCCATGCTGAGCTTAAACCCACGACCCTGAGATCAAGAGTCAGTTGCTTAACCGACTGAGCCCCCCAGGTGCCCCTAAATTTTTTTTATGAATTTATATAAATTGATTCACCATAATGAATCGTTGTTCTTACAGAATTTTAACAGAATAAGGTTTTAGGCAATTTTGCTGTTGACTCTACCTTACATATAGTAAATTTAAAGTTATAGGACGTGTTAATAGATATAAGATTAGTTCATTTGGCTCAGTTTGTCTTGGAACCAAGCTTAGCTCATGAGGCAGTTGGGTATTAGTCACAAATGAATAGTGACACCTTGCTCTATATGCTGTGTTGAGGGGAGACGAGTCTGACTTCCAAATGATTTAAGTTTTATTTCTACCTACAGATCTGTCACATGCATCTTGCCAGACAGGGCATCCGATTTATTTTACAGCTCACCAATCGGATATTTTTTGTGATGTTGGTAGGAACCTGCAAATTAGAAGAAATTGTCATGGGGGAGTTCCTCAGTATGGAATTGTGTATGTGCATGCAGGCCATCCTGTCATTGATTTCTCTCTTACAAAGGGTCCACGCTGTTCTTCTAATCATATTGTGAGGACCAACGAACATTTTCTGATTTTTGGTAAGACTGAAAAACATTTATGGAGACTTTCCCAATTAAATCTATTTTGACAGTGTCAAAATAATGTAATTAAGTATATCCTGAAGTAACTGCAATGCAAAACTGAAATGGCCAGTAGTATGTCAGCTTTGCACCTGGAAGATACTGTGTATTTGGAAAGGTTTTGCTTCTCTAAAAAAAATATGTTATTAAGTAAGCCATATCCCCTTTAAGAAATTGTATATACATTTCCATTTGCCCTTTCAGAAACCAGGTATTTTGCATATGATTGATTTTAGGAAGATTTTGAAGCTGGGGCTTGCCCATGTAATTTAAGATCAAAGTATAGTATGTATATGTACTGTATTTGCAATTTTCAAATTGTAATTTCCTATACATTTATTAAAGTATTGTTTTGCCGTGTGGTTTGTTAAAAAATGAAAATATACAACCCCCCTTAAATCTGTGGGGTTTTTTTTTATTGATTAAATAATGGCAGTAGGCCTTAAAACATAATAATCTTAAAAAGCATGAGAAAGTGGATTATAACCTAATAAGTTTTTTTTTTTTTAAGATTTTATTTATTAAAGAGAGAGAGAATGAGAGAGAGCACGAGAAGGAAGAGGGTCAGAGGGAGAAGCAGACTCCCCGCCGAGCAGGGAGCCCGATGTGGGACTCGATTCTGGGACTCCAGGATCATGACCTGAGCCGATATCGGGCTCCCTGCTCAGCAGGGAGTCTGCTTTTCCCTCTGACCCTCTTCCCTCTCGTGCTCTCTCTCATTCTCTCTCTCTCAAATAAATAAATAAAATCTTTAAAAAAAATATGATATGAAAATTAAGTTGAACTTTACATTTCAGTGTAAAGTGTTTGTCAAACACAGCCATGCTCCTCTGATCATGGATTGGCTGCTTTCATGCCGCAGTGGCAGAGTAGAGAGGAGTTAGGACACACAAAAATATTTGCTCTCTGACCATTTATAGGAAAAGTTTGCCTGCCCCTGGTATACACTGTTGTACCCTTTCAGGCTATAAGAGCATATATGGGTGCAGCAAACTTGTCCAGATCCTGTGGAAGTTTGAGACTGGCCAATCTGAAGGTCACCTGAGCCACCAAAGCTTCTCTCCCTCCCTTTGTCTTTTTTATTTTCCATATCCTCCTCGGAGTTTGGGGCAGAAAGAGGAAGAGAGTGGCAAGATTTCAAATGTGCCATATGACCTAATGTTCACTAGCAAAGCAGTTTTCTACCCCGAACACCAGGATCATTTAAGAATATTTTTCAAGGGGCGCCTGAGTGGCTCAGTTAAGAGTCCAACTCTTGGTATCAGCTCAGGTCATGAGCTCAGGGTTGTGAGATTGAGCCCCTCATGGGGCTCCATGCTCAGCAGGGAGTCTGCTTGGGATTCTCTCCCATCTGCCCCCACCCTGCATATGTGCATGCTCTCTCTCTCTCTAAAAAAATGAATCAAAATACTTTTCAATATAAAGATTTACTTGATTTTTAAATTTTCACTTAAGTTATGACAAAAAAATAAAGGAAATTAAAATGTATGTATGTCAAGTATCTTATGTAGTTTGTGCCAACTGGGAGCTCACAAGTGAAAAATAACCTTTTATCTGCTACATAAGATGAAAACTGGGGGGTTCCTGGGTGGCTCAGTCGGTGAAGTGTCTTCCTTGGGCTCAGGTCATGATCTCAGGGCCCTGTGATCGAGCCCCCCACTGGGCTCCCTGCTCAGCAGGGGGTCTGCTTTTCCCTCTCCTCCCTTCTTGTGCTCACTCTATCTCTGTCGCTCTTTCTCAAATAAAATCTTTAGAAAAAGAAAAGATGAAAATTGGTTTTTGGGCTTTTAAAATATGTTCTTTAAAATTTTTCCAGTCACTTAGGGAAAGATACATCTATTTTTGAAAATGGTAATGATATATAGTTTTAGATAAGTTATACTAGTGAGATGTTACATATTATTTGATTACTTACCTAGCTAGATCTATCTAAAATGTTGTGTCATTTTTTTTTGGTCCACATCAGATGCTAAAATAAATTCTAAGTTGGGGTAATATCCTTACAAACTCTTATTTATGCCAAACTTTCAGTTTTATTTATTAGAATAATGTTTGGTTTTAATTCTTTTTTGTTTTGTTTTGGTGGGCAGCAAAGCAGGGTTTATTGAGCAATAGCAAAGTGATAGTACAAAGCTCCCAAGGAGGGAGGGGACCTGAGAGGGTTGCCCGGTTATAATTCAGTTCCAACTATGATCTATTATAATTGCTGTAAGCTATGAAATAGCCTAAGCATAAGCAGGAAGTATGAAGCTTTATGACTAAATATCATCTCTACATAAATCATCTGTTTAAGATTAATTAGGAGGTTTAAAAATCCAGCCTCAGTGAAATATTTCCAAAGATCGCATCATTTTCAAGCAGCATTCTGGGTTAAGGCTCTCCTGTGACTTTTACAGAACATGAACTATAAAGTCTGGCCTTTGCGTTATTACCCAATAAATATGAAGATGATACTTTGTTAAGTTACCAAATAGCTTCCATGTCTCCTTTCCTGAACTTTTCCAAAAATTCATTCTGGTTTGACTTTCAGACTCCTATTGTCAATGTTTTACTTGCCAGCTTCTGCATGTTGGTTTGTGGGGTTTGTTTGTTTGTTTGTTTTTAACACTTCTGTTCTCTTTAACAGTTAAAAAATGCCATGGAAAAGTGTGTGGGAGTTGGTTTTTC